TCTATCGCAAATTCATTCCTAAATTTAGTGAAATCGCTCAACCCCTTCTAGAACTGACTAAAAAAAAGACCACGCGTTTTTATGGCTTGAGGAACAGGACAAAGCGTTCGAACTTCGAAAAAAACTTTTTGTTACGGCCCCTGCTTTGGCTCTTTATGATCCAGACAGCGATACAGTAGTAGAAGCAGATTACTCAGGTTACGCAACGGGGGCTTGTCTTTCTCAATTTGACGCCAAAAATACCTTACGACCGGTAGCATACTTCTCGAGGAAATTAACCTCCGCAGAATGTAATTACGAAATTCATGACAAGGAGCTACTGACCGTCGTTTCCGCCTTGGAAGAGTGGAGAGGTGAGCTAGTAGGGTTAAAAGATCCATTCACTGTCCTTTCCGACCATAAAAACCTTCAGTACTTCATGACAACAAGAAAGCTGTCGGAGCGTCAGGTTAGATGGAGCCACACTCTTTCCCAGTTCGTTCTCAATTTGAGATTTAGGGCAGGCAAAAGTTCCGCGCGCCCGGATGCACTCTCACGCAGGGAGCAAGATATGCCACTGAACTCTAACGACGAGCGCCTAAGGAGTAGACATATGCAACTAGTAAGGGATTCATGGATGGATCCCGTGCCTCGCCAGGCAGAGTTCGTAAAAAATTAGATAACCTGAATGTCGCTTTGCCCCGATACTATACCAACTGCGGACGCCACAGTCAACATACCTCATGGTGACAAAGTATTCCAGGAAACAACCCTCCAAATATTGTGGGATCAAGGATGCGCAGAAGACAGCAATTTTCAGGCCCTGTACGTTTCTTTGCAGAATAGCGAGCGCAACTTTCCTAGTGAGCTGAATCTTAAGGTATCCATTTCAGAGTGCGACTTGGACGAAAAAGGGTTACTCCGCTTTAGACGTCGCGTTTGGGTACCAAATTGGGAGCCCCTTCAAACAGCCTTAATACAGAAGACACACGACTCATATATAACTGGACATCCGGGTCGTGACAACACCTATGCCATTCTATCAAGGAGTTTCTTTTGGCCAGGAGCATCATCTATGGCCCGTGTTTTAATTAAGGGAGTAACATGACTGCATTACAATAAACTGTTCACATTAGAATAATGTGCACATGCGCCATGGGATATGATTGACCTAAATCATCACTCATTGGTATGACATAGTATTTCCCAATAGATTCCTAATGGTATCTATTGGCGCTAGGATCTCTCACATCCTTCCTTTCTCGGTTAGACAAGGACAGATGTTGGAACATCCACTAGTGTGCAGAACCCCCTTATTCATGTATATAGAGGAAGGTCCTGTCACGTAGATAAATCAAGCAATTCATACAATAGGAAATTCAAACAATCTCCATATTATTCACACACTTGAGAATAACAGGGAATATCCTCAAGTTAGTCCATTGATCCAAGTCCTAAGAGTATAACTCACGAACTTTACTTCTCTTAAAGCCATAGCTACCTCCTTCCATACCTTCATCCTAACGGTACGTCATTCCAGCTCAGCATAGCCTTTCAATAGCCCGAACATTTTGTAAGAACTGCGATGTTTGCGGTCGTTCACACGTTTAGAGAGAAAAAAAAGGGCTACTATTGCCCCTTCCTATACCTGATCGTTTCCACTCAGAGCTATCTATTGATTTTATGACCGGGTTACCCGCCAAGTCAAAGGGGGATCCTCGATACCTCATGGTAATCACTAACAGGCTACTAAAAAGTTGCACGCTCGAAGCCATGACATCAATGTCAGCTGAAGAGTGCGCAAAAAAGTTTTTGACATCACATTACAGGTCTCATGGCTTCCCCAGGTTCCTTCCGTCCGATCGTGTTTCAAATTGGGTGGGTGACTTTTGGGCACATTTTTGCAAAAGCGTAGGTATCGAACAACGCCTATCAACAGCTTTCCACCCGCAAACAGATGGGAGCACCGAAAGAATGAACCAAGAGGTTTTGGCCTACTTAAGAGCATTTATATCTTACGCCCAGTTTGAATGGCCATCCATGCTCCCTTCGGCCATGCTTGCTCTCAATAATAGGGACACTGTAATTGGCTTAAGCCCTTTCTTCCTCACACACGGCTACCATGCTGAACCCATAGCCCAGGTGCAAGCTTCATCAATAAAACCCTCACTCCCGGCAATAAGAAGTAGAGACTTCGTGGAGAGGATTATCGACGGACAAGAATTTGCGCAAGCTGCAATGGCCTCTGCTCAACAACAAATGGAATCAGCGGCCAATAAAAAAAGACAGCCCCAGGAACGATATTATCAAGGAGATCATGTGTGGCTGAATTTGAAAAATATACAAACACCCCAGTTATCAAAAAAACTATCATGGGTAAACGCAAAATATCGTATCACTAAAGTCATCTCCCAACACGTAGTAGAACTCGATGTCCCATCTGTTATTTGGCCAAGATTTCACGTAGAACTCTTAAAGAGGGACCCACAGAACCCATTACTATCTCAGATATGCAGGGATAGTCAACCAATCCCTTTGATAAATGACAGCGGCGAAGAGGAATAAGTGGTGGAAAGAATTATCAGAGCTGAGCAGAGGCGCCTAGGGCGAGGTTTTCGCAGAGAGCTCTTAGTAAAATGGAAACAATTCGAAGAACCCATTTGGGAACCGCGCATTAACTTGGAAGAAACAGAAGCCCTAGATATCTTCGAAAGGGAGTACGGCGACGGAGATAACGTCGGTGAAAATATCGGTACTCGGACAGGAATATCCGGAAAATTCAATAAAAATAAAAATAATAAATGGTTCTGTATATAGATACCGCATAGGACGTTAAACTAGATCAATGAATGAATAATAAAAATAAAAATAAATAAATAATAATAATAAAAATAAAAATAAAAATACACGGACGGGAGAGTTAATATTACGGGCTGCGCCTGACCCTAGTAAGAAGTGGAAGGTTAGATGTTCGGAAGACTAATGACCTCCAACCCTAGTCAACAAGGTCCAGGCAAGGAATTAGAACCCATGCAGGTTGAGCGTAGACTCCTTGAACAGCTAGCCTCATAATCTCCCACCGGGGAGGTCAGACAGCAAGCGTATAGACTTTACCAATGGTTAGGAGATATAATAGGACCTTCCCTATAGAATTAGTTAGTCTCTCTTGCATGTAAAAAATAGACAGTATTTGGATTTCATACCCTTGCTTCATCGTGTTGTCGTAGCCCTTTCACATCGAGTAACCAATGAGGATAGGAGCTCTGTGTAAGGTGTGGCCTGGATCAGAGGAGTCTAGTCTGCTAGATAGCCATAGGCTCAAGTAGCACATCAAAGAAAAACTGACTGTCAATTGATAAAAAATCTCACGGAGCCGGAGCAGCGACATAGAAATTCTGAATTATTGCGTCATGTTGGTGCTAGGGCCTTGGGTAAAAAGTATCAACTATCCGCTAGGTCGACAAGAAATTCCATTAACGCATCAAATTACTTCTCCACAGGGAAGAGTTTTAATGATTAGCATTTTTATGGATCATAATGTCTCTAGCCATAGACCGTGGGGAAGACTAGGGTGATATTCCTGTGTTAATGCCTGTAAATGAGAAGACTTATTTTTAGAGGCGGCAAGAGCGTATCTTTCATCATAGATTGCCCTACTCAGAATTGCTCTAATAAGCAGCGGGATCGAGATGAGTTGAATTAGGATGCCAGAACAGTATTATTATACAACTTTAATGTGGAAGCCGTTGGTGGATAATGAAGGATATCCAATCAGCAGGTCAGTTCCTCTTTGTATATGCCTAGGACAAGCCAGAGCTACCTTTTTTAATCTATGGAGTCACTCAAGATGTATCAGCTGCCTCACGCGGCCAAATCCTACGTTAGTCCATTAAACATTTGAAGCGTAGCTCGTCGTTGAAAAGTTGTCGGTGAGTGTTCGAGCGACGGGTAGATTATCGTGCCTTTTTGTTTTTGCTTAAACACTTGGAAACTTGGATACTTGACAGTTTGAAGAGCTTTTGTCAAGGATGATACATATTCAAGCCTACTTACCCACGAAACTAGGATCATCAGTAATCTGAAGTTCTTGGTTGTCAAGTGACTACGCTGAGTACTATTCGAACAAGCATGGCTGTGGAACCATGCTTTTCAAACCCTCGGGAAGATTGCACTGATTACTGTGGTCAGGCATGATTCTTCAAGACTGAGAAGCCCTCGAGACTTTCCCTTACCAAGACCTCAAACTTAGCGAGGGCAAGAGTATAATTCGACCCCTAGATCTAATGTGGGAGCATGTAATGCGATATTTTGATCGTCATAATCCGTTTCACAGGGCCTAAACCTAAATTCAGACTGTGATGTTCTCTTACTTTGCGCCTATATCTCAATGTCCGTCTAGTTGAGAAAAATGTGACCAGAGGTACTTTCGGCACAGAGGGAGTGAGCGCAATGATTGGTTGTTGGCTAAAGTTGCAAATATTAACTTATTGTTGCGGATGAAATAAATTTGTCCATAGTTAGATTTGACGTTCATGTTAAACTGAAGGATAGGTTCCAATTTAAACCTGAGAGCTGGCTGCAACTAGATTTTCCAAGTTCATCAAAACTAATACAATTGGCTCAGAATTCTTGAACTGCGCAAAACCCGACACCCCCATCTATCCAATGTTTGCGGCTCGCCGTAAATGCACCTGACCCGACCTTACAAGGTTTCCCGCCGAGACAGTAGTGCGTTGAAGGACCTGTGGTTAGGCAGCGGCACCAAAGGTATTATCCATTTGACCACTTATTCGAATACCAATTCGCCACCGCCAAACAGTGGCATCAGCTCGCAACCCCTTTCAGCTGCTTATCCTGATTCCCATCACTTTAAAATTTCAACAGACACACAAAGTTCGTACGGCGCCAAAATCCACCAATAAATCTCCTCATCTCTGCTTTGAAGACGGTACACTCCCCTACTACTATCTGCATGGAATGCGCGTTCACTAAAACCCTGCAACAGCCATCATCACCCTAAAATGCCAACTTCAGAACACGACGAGTCGGCCGCACCTGAGACCTCAGAAAATAGTGATCATGTTAAACATTTGAATATTAAAGTAACTGACAATAACAATGAGGTTTTCTTCAAGATCAAAAGTACAACTCCCTTGAAGAAACTAATGGATGCATTTTGCGAAAGACAGGGCAAGTCCCCTGCTTCAGTAAGGTTTCTCCATGAAGGAAGTCGTGTTCAACCAACAGATTGCCCAGAATCAGTAAGTAGCCTTGATCCTGCATTGATTTCTTGGCTTTATCGACAGAAGAAGATTTTTACAGTCCATACTGACGTAACTTCTATAGATAAATATTGAAGACGGAGATACGTTAGAAGTACATCAGGAACAAATCGGTGGCGCATCCTCATCGAACTGAGGGTATGAGTTGCATGATATCACTCCTGATGCTCGACAAAGATGGAGTGTAGCAAGAGAAAATGAATATTACAATAATGAGCGAATCATATCGCAAAGTGCCTTTCAAATGTGCTGTTGGTACCGCAACATCTAGAAGCTCACTTCAAGTTATGAAATTGGTAGATTACAGGAGAAATGGGGTCGAAAATATCATCGTCGCTTCATTAAAGTGATTATCCTATGTGTATCAAATGGTGAACCGTAACTACATTGAAAACAATCGAAAATTACCGACAGTCTTAGCAAACTTTTACAATCATTGTCTCTTTAATGAAAGGGAATGCCCTTCTTCCAAAAAACTCAGCATCCAAAGCTGATATAAATTACTTGGTAACAAGTACAGCACTAGGGTATTCGCATTCGTGCGTACCTGAGCACTAATCAGACCAAATCGCTTGTTGTGCTCGCTCAGACTCTATTTGAGTCCGCTGGAGAGCTTCTTTCTCCTGTTTCCTTCTCTTGACTTCTCTTTCTTTGACAGCTTTCTCGTACGCCATCTGATCCTCAGTTTTCTTTGAAGGTTTGATACCCAGGGCGCCTGCAATCATTCTTTTCGCGGCAGCATCGGTCTTGTCAGGTCTCGGGCAGCCACGGGCAGTCCGCACATCACTGGCATTCTCAAGGTTGTAGCCGCAAATTCCATTCAGGCTTTCGTGAGTAAAAGATATAGTTTGGGAGATAGGTGTCGCAGGTGGTGCCAAGGGGAAATTTGCCGGCTGCTCTGGCGATAGAGGATCTTCTATTTCATCCTCAGAGGAAATCTGTTCGTCTTCCCAAGAATCCAAGGTTGATTCTTTCTTTCTTGCCGAATTTATAGGCTTCCATGGCTGTGGATTTATTGAGAGCTTCACGAAAGATGGGTTGGCGGCTAGGACAGATTAGAGCTGAAAACTGATCAAAGACTGCACGATGCTATTTGAAGCTTACTTTTATCTTTAACTTCAGTCATTTTGTTATTAAAGGCAGTAAAGGTAAGTAAATGGGTGACAAACGAAATATCTAAAATGTGAGCAGAGGCTGCCTTAATAAGATGGCCTCTGTGACGTTTGCGGGGAGGCCGGATTAGAACCCCAGTGACCAGGGGCGATCCTCTGCCTATGGGGGAATAATAGATTGCGGGGTACCACGACAAGGCTTCAGACCAAATCTTTCAAGGGAGTGGGGACCGTGGGATTGGAAGAAAGCTAAATTGCAGGATAGATGATGGCTAAAATAGCATGTCGGGCGGACTGAGGCGAGAAACGATTCCTGTGCCGTTTGATCCGCTTGCAACCATGACTATAACCTGAGGCTTCGCACACCATCGTACGCCTAACTTCAGGATTACTAGGTGGAGACGAAAAGTCCCAAATACAACTGTTCCAATCTTGCAAGTGTTATTTGAGCCAAGCGTGGCATTCTTACAGTAAGCAACCCGCAATAGTAAGACTGCAACACGTCACTCCTAGGAACCGCCACCCCCTAGGGAAGTGGGACTCGAGATATCCAGACCATGTGTATGTTTTATTTATTGTCAAATTCATCAATATTCAGCAGAGAATGTGACAACCTGTCTGGAAGTAGGTTAATATGATCATAGCGCGTTGATGGTTAACTTGCATGGACGAGAAGCTCGCCTCAGCTAACTATTAACATGAATTGTGAAAAGAGGCGAAGGACTTGAAATCTTCTTGCCACCATCCCCTTACGGTTAGACAACCGTCAAAGCCCACGACAAAGACAGTAACAGGAAGTCTCTATCTTTTCCTCGACTGAGATCTATCAACTTCAGCTTGAGAGAAATTAGGCAACTTACATGTAGCCAATCTTTTGACTTTACTATAGACAGTATTAAAAGCCTAAACATGCATGACCCATTGGCCGCGACCCCTACGAACAACAAGAGCTAAGGTTGAGCTAAAGAGTACCTAGGAGAGCTTCTATTATCAAATCTTCTATTGCATTGACCAATATCCAGGACAGCATAAAGACTTGGGACTGGGCTAATTTAGAGCGCACTCGCCACAAACACTTTTCTAGCATTTCATCAACACTTTGGATCCGTCCCAACACGCGAATGATGAAAACGTTTAAAAGGAGACTAGGAATGTAGAAGGTTATTCTCAGGTTCATACTTGTCGCAGCGCGCGTTTGAGCGGCCTCTCAAGACGCATTGGAGGTGTTGTTATGTCCTGGGATCCAGTTCTATTGTCGATAGTAGGAAAGCCCCAAACCCAACAGGTTTTGTAAGCTTTCTCAGCCAACACGCACCCACATATGGATTTTTTTCTGTAGTTAGAGAGCGAAGATAATGAAGGCCAAAATTTTTGCTCATTTCATAATGGAATGAAAACTTGTGGTATGTCGTACTGTTGGAAAGAAGCTGTAAATGAGGCATAGATATCCTTGGCCTAGGGAAAGAAAGGATCCATATTTCTTACAGAATTCTACTTGGAGACACATGATTCTAGTAGGGCAAGACTGAACACTTGTACGCGGTATCCTCTACGAACCTAGGAGTGAAATATTCTCCCAGAGCCAAGTTCAGTCAAATTTCGCAATACCGATCAAGTTGGCCCACGAGGCAATGATTCAAATTACTCCGACACGTCAATTTTTCACTTCCAAAGAGATCGAATCCTACCTAAGCCTCATCAAGTCTACAAGTACGACCTAGTACATCCTCATTCCAATGATTACACCTCTCGTCGACTTTCTCTGGCCTCAGCTGGTCACCAAATACACGCCCACGCCTATATTTATACCCGCAGGAGGAAGCAAAGCGTGGTGCACAAATCTGGGAGACTGTTCTTTGGGATGGACGTGAGAGGATTTAGGACAAGTTCACAAGATGATGCGAAGGATGGATACAGTCTCGACGGGCGTAGAAATTGGAATTTTGGCAAGGAGTTTTTAATTGAGCTTTGTGCGTGCCAAGGCTTCAGTTGCGAGAGTGCAGGCGACACTGTAAACACCGCCATGGTTGGATGGTGCGGTGGTATATCGTCTTGGCCGGTCTGCCAAGTAGAGTCTGGATAGCTTGGATACATCCCACTTGAGACAGTAGATCGCTGGTTCAAATCCGGCAAATCACAACCACATTTCTCGCGGCGCTGTTATGCTTGTATAACCAAAGGTTTTGAAATTCCCTTTGGTGGGTACTAGCGGAGGAAGGTCGACTGTATGTGTAAGCAAACACACCTCATAGTGACATTTGCGAATGAAATCCAGAGTATGAGTGTCTCTAACGTCAAAAGAGTCATCCAATATCGATACATAGCACCAGTCATGTGTCAGAGCTAGATAGCTGAATACACATTAAATGATTTAAAAAAAACACACATGATTCTAAAATAAGCGGAATCAAGTCTATTAGTCATCTGTTACTAATAGTGAATTTGGTCCGTGCAACCATTGATTTAATGTTTTTACGTGCCCTGCCCACAAGAAATATGGCATAGGTAGTTGATTCCGAAGAACTCAATATCATCTATGTTACCAACTTACTGAGAACCTCAATTCCATAACAAAAATTGTAGCGTGTCTGGGTTCACTGTCATTTTCCTCATCTATTTCCCCCCATGGTGTCCTGCAAAAAATCAACTTCTGCGACTACGGTTTTGGGTAGGCTCTTTATTTTGCTACATGACTCAATGGCTTTCTAGCATAGTAATATCCTCTCTGACTCAGGCTACACTTTGTATAGTGCTCTTGTCCTCTTTTGTTACGAAAAAGAACCTCTGATGTAATACCCATGACGGATAACCATTTTGTCCATCACAGGTAGAACTCAGACTCTTCTACGGAATAGACTACCGACAAACAAAAAAGTATTAAATTTCTGGAGGTATCTGGAATGATGGAGGTGAACGTTGACCGTCAAGTCAACACTGTAGGGATTGTAAGACATTGGAGATTTTAGGATCAGAGATAAAAGATCAGGATCACTTAAGTTCTTGTTCCTTGGGCTTGTTCGTTGAAGTGTTACAATGTTATCTACTACTAATTATCTACGTTCTACCTCGCTTAGGAAGAGACATTATGTTCTGATTAAGTGATGAAATGACATTCCTACCGCCGAGACCTGACCAGAGCTGGTAGAGATCGAAGATGAATAGTCTTTGTCTACTCCGTACTATTCGCAGCTTGGTCTGGTGTGTTTTAGCTTCAACAAGAATGGCAACGGATCTGCGTGCATGGAATGTGGCTTCGAGTCTCGTATCTAATATGAGGTGAGTAGTATAACGACTGCTTGAAATTGTTACTAGGAGTAAGACTATTAATGAAGTATATTATTTCTTGTCTATTGTCTTTCTCTGGCTACCAATGTTATGTCCAAAAATGTGCCGGAGAATTTTCTCAACACCCGTCAGTGGTGTCCCCTATAGACCTCCAGCTCTCACTGTAGAATCTACAGAGCCGAGGCCGAGTAAAAAAGTCCTCAATTCGATGACGATCCACAATCGCTTTCGCAGTTTGTATCGTCGATATTTCTCAACACATCCTCCCATCACCATTATTATGAAGCTAACCACGATCAAATCAGATGGTCAGGTCGGAGGCCTTTTCATCACCGACCCTTGATCATGGAGGAGAAGCCATCGGATGAGTTTCTGGAGCGTATCCAGCACCCGATACGGAGATGGCGGATTGGATCAAGTCGACCCCAACTGTTATAAGGAAGGGAGATATAGATGAATATGCGCACCTCATGTGGTCCCAGTGTCTAGGCCTCGCCTGGCTGGGGTTGCAGGTTTTTCGAGACTTTTTCCCGCGCACGCAGTTTCCATTGCTACCATTTTTTTTGGGTAGAAGACTCCGTGGAAAAGGTGGCCGAATTCCACGGGTAAACACTGAGCTGAATGGCTATTCATCAAGGGTAATATATGAATGATCTTTCAAGTAACAAAAGAGGATGGGAGCACTGTACAAGGTGTGGCCTGGAAGAGGAGCCCAATGTGCTAGGTAGTCATAGAATAAAGTAGTACAATAAAAACACACAAAAAAGCCACAATAAGGTATGCTTCCTTTCACAAACTGTCGACTCTCCCCCGTGAGTACCCACCGATGGGACGTTTCAAATTCTTTGGTTATCCAAGGATGCCTTCGTCATCCATGTATACCAGCGCCGCGAGATATGTAGTTGTGTTTTGCCGGATTTGAACCAACGATCTACTGTCTCGAGTGGGATATATGTCCAAGCTATCCAGGCTTTACTTGGTAGACCGGCCAAGACGATATACCACCGCACCATCCAGCCATGGCGGTGCCGGCAAAGACGAATTTCTCACTTTCCAGTGGTGCCTGTGTAATCGCTTGGTATGCTTTGCATATGTGGGATAGCCAAGGCGAATCGCACCTAAATCGAAGTCGAAAGCAACCTCAAGCATATCTCCATTTGACGACTTCTCGACGATGCTTTTCTTGTCATTCTCATCTGAGTCCTCAACCTCTCTCTAACCACGCATCATCTCGCCTCGATGAACAATAAAGAAGTTGCTCCAATTGCACACAGGAGCTTGCCCCATTAATCTCCAGCCATCTCTCACTACATATTTACAACGCTATTTATACCCGCAAGGAGGACATCAAGTCGAAAAATACAAAGCCTGGGTATTGGCTTATGAGGGATTGATGCTCTAATGGGACAAACAACTTGAAGGAGAACAGGCGCCTGAGATGTGGAGCGAGAGGGGCAACGGATCTCTGAAGACCATGCTGAGCCCCATATTTTCGAGGGGTTTTCAACTTTGGAATTTTTGTGGGCGCCAAGACTAAGGTTTATGCAAATTAGCCAGGAGGACTTTAATTTTCGATGAGTCAACGGCACTCCCCAGCACCCTGGACGGCACAAAAGAAGTTGGGCTGAGCTACTTTACAGCAATCACGCTCTATCAAGACTTTTCTGACATTTCACCACGACCTTCGGGAAGGAGTTGGAAGGAGACTAGAAAGGCAGAGGGTGAATTTCCCGAGGTACCCACAAGTCTGCAGCGCCCAGCTGGCCGGCCTCTTCAAAGGCTTTAGAAGGGGCACTATGTCTTCGGATTTAGTCCTAATGTCGGTATTAGGAGAGCTCCACACCCAGTGGTTTTTGCGAATTTTCCCGGCTACCATACACCCGCAAATAGCCATCGTTTCGATGGCTGGAGAGGGGAGATAATGAAGGGCAAAGGACTCCTCTAAGTGTATGATGAAATGAGAACTTGTGAGAGGCGGTACTATTTGAGGGGAGCTGCATGGGAGGCATAGGAGGGGATATACTACTGGTATAGGTTTCCTTGGCCTGTTGGCAGAGAGGACCTGCATGTCCTACATAGTCATAGACTCAGACGGGGCAATAAAATGAATCAAAAAACTATGACGGTGTTTATAGTGTCGCCTGCACTCTCGTAACCGAAGTCTTGGCACGCACAAAGCTCAACTGCTAAATCACCTTGCCAAAATTCATATCACGCCCGTCGAGATTGTATCCATCCTTCGCATCATCTTGTGAACTTGTCCTAAATCCTCTCACGTCCATCCCAAAGAACAGTCTCCCAGATTTGTGCACCACGCTTTGCTTCCTCCTGCGGGTATAAACATAGGCGTAGGCGTGTATTTGGTGACCAGCTGAGGCCAGAGAAAGTCGGCGAGAGGTGTAATCATTGGAATGAGGATGTACTAGGTCGTACTTGTAGACTTGATGAGGCTTAGGTAGGATTCGATCTCTTTGGAAGTGAAAAATTGACGTGTCGGAGTAATTTGAATCATTGCCTCGTGGGCCAACTTGATCGGTATTGCGAAATTTGACTGAACTTGGCTCTGGGAGAATATTTCACTCCTAGGTTCGTAGAGGACACCGCGTACAAGAGTTCAGTTTTGCCCTCCATCCGAGGCATAAGTGCTCCAGTATTAAATTGTATCATCTATTCGGTACTCTATCTCTAATTCTGAGTCATAGCTAGCTATCTGCGTACAAATTTCCAATCTAATGTATATAATAAAAGGGGATGTTGCTCGTCAAAGAAATGCTAGGGACGGGGTGATGACAGGCAGCCGACCGGGACTCGCGTGGGTGAATGGAGTTCCTGAGGTGAGAGATTGCGACACTCCTCGGGAATCCCAGATATGCCAACATATTAAAAATTTATGCTGGAAGCTGACAAATTGGACTTTGCCTGCCTGTTGGACGATAACACGTCGAGCAGCATTGAGTTAGGGCTCACCAGCCAGTCATCTATTTTTGGCTGTCGAGCGCGAGCACTACGCTTAAATATTAATCAGAAATAGAGGCTTTAATTGGACAGACGAGGCTGAGCAAATGTACGTAGTATTCACTACAAACCTGTGAGTGCAATGTTGTCCCAGAGCCAACATTCCCACATACCCCAATGGTCGAAGCGATTTTTTCCTGCCTGAGGTTATAGTCAGGGGAGCTGACTTTGATCAGATCTCCAAATCTGCTGGAGTTTCCCCGGTAGACAAATCACGAGGTGAATACTCGAAAACATTCTAAGAGTTGTTATTTCAAGCGAAATATCGCTTTCTTCTTCCATTAACCTGTCAATGTTGGTTTAACTATTTGTCGCTGCAAAATCTAAAATACAACCCGCGTTTACCCATTAATCACCTGGTATGAAGTGGGCCTGGCCGAACGAAAATCTTGGGTCTCTGGAATGGTGTCTACTTTAGAGTCCATAGCTTACTGGTATATATGAGAGATGCTGGACCGTGAAACATTTCACGATGTTAGAACGACATCCACGTAATTGACAACAGTCTTTCCATCCGCCTCAATCTATTGTAAATTGCTGTTCTATACCTAATTTCCGGTATCAAGCCAAAGTGGTCTTTAGAGGTTCGACAGAGTGTTATGTAAATGTTGAGTATAAGCCTTCATAATTTTTCTCTTCCGGGGCCAGTTGACATGTACAACAATGCTGTTCAAGAGAACGACGTGCACATGGTGAGTAGGAATGGAAAGTGTTCCAATTTCAAGTATCAATCATCAGTACATTCCCCTATATCAGAGCTAAATTAGCTCAATCACAAATGATATTTGTCTTTGCTGGCAAATTTTTAAAGTCTGAGGCATGCCGTTCAAAGCGACGGCATGTTTGTAACGACTGTATCCCCTCAGATTTGTAGTCCAGCTTCATTAGATTTAGGAGACAGAAATGAGAGGGGAAATATTATTCTGGGCAGTCATGAGCGCGCAAGAGATCGATATGATCTTAACAAGCATTAATGGTTACTCATGTAGAGGCTTGTTACGGGACTCTAAGTAGAAAGCCGGCGACATTGTTACTTATCAAGAGAGGCAGCCTCGGAGGAATTTATACTTCGGCACAAAACTTTTAGCGAGTAACTAAGCTAGTCCTAAATCATACAAGCTTGAACAGGGCAGAATCGCGTACACATGTGCGCGACGTATGCCAATGGTCTGATAAGGACAAGAAAAAAGGCATCTTGTCATATTTTTCACTATCATGCTAATAAAACGAAATCATCAATGTTGTAGAACACACAAGTCATGCCTCATATGATGCAAAATGATGACTTGCTTCCACAGGTAGCTAACACATCTAATTGGCCGTGAGATGGGTGGATAACAGCGTTTCTAGGCTTCTGTGGTCGGTATTGAAGTAAAAGTAAGTGTGCAGCTTTCGACATGCTTTGTATTCTCACAAGCTTTCATAGCCAATCGAAGCACATCTAAATAAAGAAATATCGGAGGAGCCAGCTTCTTCTTACGAAGGCGACATGAGCTCTGTCAATGAATATGACGGTGGAGAATCTGGTTCTGATTCCAATTGTAAATTTCGACTGCACCTACGATATAATTTTTCTAACTTTCTTAAAAGGTGACACAAATATGTCCAACTTACAGGACGCTGAAGATGATGCTCTTCATCCTCTACAAAAATCAGCAAATCAAGCAGGCTATGAAATCGAAGAGTTTGCCAAGGCCTTGGATATCCTTCATCCTCAAAAAGCGACCAATCAGTTCATGCGACATGAAATGATGTTTGATCTCCTTGCCAGATTCCATAGTATCTCCCTAGAGTCAGCTGAACGAATGAAGCAGAAGTACAATTCGGAAAAGCGTAAAATGGAAGGCCAAAAATGGAGAAAAAAGATGCGAGGGCTCAAAATTGCGCAGTCTGAGGAAGTGGCGCCCGAGGAGATGAATAATGATGATAATACAGCCTCCTTTCCCAGCACAACTTTACAAGATCTTGAATCAAGTGCGCTGGAAGCACAGACTTGGGACCTACTCAAGCGCCTAGCAGCCACTCGTTTTGGACCTAGACCTCCTCCTCCTAGACCAGCGCGTCCTCCTTACTCATCCGAGCAAGAAATATGGGATAATTTTACAAAGACAGATGATCTCGCAGTTGAAAGAAGTGTCATCTTGCAATGGCTCAAGGATACTGCAGATGAATCAGGAAAAGACATCAATGTTCTAGTTGAAGGGTTACAAATGAATGCTGAAAGAGGCGATATTATAGCGCATGGCTGGCTACACACTAAAGCTGCCATCAAGGATTACAAGCGAAGAATGTCATCTTCGTGTCCACTTGACCCAAAGAACCTGAACGTCAAAAGTGGACTACTAAATCTATCAAAAACTGAGCCGCTATCATGCCAGCTTGATCCGGATGTAGTCGGTAGGCAGGGTCGCAAATTAGCCTCGCAGGATGAATACTTTGAACGCGCAATATGGCAGGGCTGTTATGAGCTATTGCGACGAGGTAAAACCCCCCAAGAAATAAAAGAATGGTGCATAGAACGAACAGAAATCTGGAGGGCTGTCAGTATGCTAGGATTTTCTTTGGAGAATACCAGTGAAACTAAAGAACGTGCAAATCCAAATGCAATTCGCCGCTGGAGAAAAGCTTGTTTTGCAATGGCTCGCAATGAAGGAGGCGACGAATACGAGAAAGCAGTATATGGGATATTAAGTGGTGATATACTTAGTGTGGAGCCTGTTTGTAAATCATGGGATGATTTTGTTTTTGCACATTATAATGCTCTTCTTAGAGCACAATTCGACGATTATCTACATAAGATTTTTCCTCAGCCATCACTGACGAGTACAAACGCCACCGCACTTCGCACGTTTAACGCAGTTCAGTTTCACGGTGAATCTGGGTCAGCTGGAAAACGTGTTATAGAGAATCTAAAATCCAATCCACAGACTGCAGAAGAAAGTCTTATACCTATGAAGATGCTACAGGGGGTCATAATTGCAAATCAATTTCCAAACTTTATTTTTCAGCAAGGACTTGCATTATCAAAACTTGCCAACGCAAATGAGTTGTCTAGGGTGATCCCTCCCAGTAAAGAGCAACTAGAGGATGGGAACATCTCAGAATATATCCAATTAGACGATCATAATAGTCTGAGAGTCCTAACACACGTACTTATCATATTTATGGGTCTAGGTCTCGACTTGGGAGATGTGTATCGCGAAACAGAGGTTCAAAACGTCATTGTAGCATATGTGAGCTTTCTCAGGCTAGCCGGAAAAGAAGAATTAATTCCTCTTTACTGCTCTCAGTTGTCGGGAAAAAGACGATACGCAATTCTTTCTCGTGCCTTAATCGATGTTGTTGATGAGGAACAGCGAATCATTCAGATCAATCTGATGAGAGAGTTAGGATTAGACGTACACGAGTTCGTTAGTCTTCAAGCCAGATTTCTATTAGAAGATTTTCCTGATTCTACGCCCGGGTACCCTGCAAAAGAAAACTTTAAGCTCTTTATAGATTCTCCAGATTCCTTATCCCCACAGCGGAAATTAGTCAAGGATTTTCTGGGCGACGAGGACTCTATTATGAGGATTGACTCATTGCTAATCAGAAGCTTGCAGTGGTATCTTCTCGTAGATGGACTTTGGGTAGAGACTTTTAGGTTAGGTACAATGCTTTATCTTCGATTTTACAGTAAGTTCGAACACACTGTACACGGAGACAATGTCTAACTTAACACAGAACACATGCACCTTTGTGCTGCGAAGATACTGTCAATTAGAGTTCCCAGCAAACTACTGATGGAACGCAAAACACGAGCCATATTAGGCGAAAGTGTCAACCTTTTTGAAACCGATGATTTTGACGTAGAGGACTCTAATGCTGCACTAAAGTTTCACATGCTTGCTGAGGCTAATGACTTCAGGAGCCTGGAGATCCTGATTGAATTCTTAGATAATATAGAGACAGCCACATGTTTAGATGATATGAAGATGCAGTAAGTCTGTTAATCCCAGGAGTTTAGTTTTGGCTTAACACATCTATTTGCAGGGGGCTGTCTAGCCAGATTCCTTCTATAAGTCGCAATGATTGGCGCCACAACTATCAAATTGCTTGTGAAGACGCAAAGATCTATGCGTGCCATCTTATGAAAGGGTGGCTCCTTTCTACCCCGAACGGTAATATTGCTGTACAAAAACATATGAGCTAAGCTAAATTTATATAGAATGTATACAAGAAGAATTGAAGCTCATTAGGGAGGCATATCTTCCAGAGGCTCTTCTGGCTTACGTCACTGTCATGCAAAATGCTGGGCTCAACTTGAATCGAGAATTCCTTTTAGTGGCCATGGAAGTGTCCTCTATTCTAGCTGATGACGACTCTGACACACTTGATCTTTTCGTCAAAACGAACCGTCTTCAAGATATGATTGACAATCTGGCTAGGGTTTGTAAGAGCTTAGTCATTTCCTCATCCGGAGAGCAAAAACACGCTTCTCGCACTAAGAGAATGAAGAGACGCGGATGGAATATCGAATCATGGGATGTTAAGCCGGCAACAAGACCAGAATTATAAGATCCAAACCACTATCGCCAAAGACCGATGTGAAAAAGGTGACGCCTCGCTACGATAATAAGGATATCCATCAAGTCGAGTATTTGTGCTTACTACCAAATCGATGCAATAGTTGTGATCTTAACACAGCCAATTCTACTGTTGGGTAAACTTTCCACAAATCATAGTTTATTTGTGTCAACAAATTTAATCAAACTTTGAATCAACAACTATAGCCAAAGTATTGATATACTTAGCGCTGCTTTTGCCCACAGAAATATTACTCTCAAAGGAAAACTTCAAAGTCAAATTATAATTGACTGAATTCTAATGCGGAAAGCATCTGCGAAAAATTTGATTATTTACTATTTGTACTATAAAAACCCAATTTTAAAATGTGGATGGAACAGGAATACTTTCCACACCCATAAGCAGTCAATTGTGACAGGAATGGCTGGAAGCAGTCCGCATATAAAAATCATGAAGTTCTTTGGTCTCTTAATTTTATGAAGTAAAATATCAAATATTTAATTAATAAATCTTCTAAATTTCATGGGTATCTTACTTTAAACATACACTAATTTGTTTAACGCATCGTTTTCCTGTGGTTAAACGTACTTTACAATCAGTATCCACCGGCATCCTTATTACACGATGAGCACGAAAGTAATTGAGATTTGAACTAAAGGTTTTTTTTGCATCAGATTTTAATTGCGTATGCAGCTATGTAGCTATGACACAATATCAAAGAAAAGTACAGAAAAGATGACTCAATCTACAAGAAGAGCACTCATGCCTCGGATTTCATTTTCAGGTGCCACTGCGAGGTTATGGTGGCTTTTTCTTCACCCCAAGTCAACCCTCATCCGTGAATACCCACCCAGGGGAACGTCTCAAAAACCCTGAGTTATCCAGACATGCCTCCGTCATCCATCAACTTTTCTCCGCGCGAAATGTAATCTGAGATGTCTCCTTCCCAAGTGGAGTAGGTGCCCAGGCTACTCAGACTATACCAGAGAACACCACCAGGTGGCGGATCACAACACCTTCCATCGTCGGCTTGTTTTTATAGTGTCAGCTGCACTCTCGCAAGCGAAGTCTTGGCGTGCACAAAGCTCAATTCGTAAAACTCCTTGCTAAAATTCGGAATTTCATGCCCTTCTAGGTTATATCCTTTCTTTGCATCATCTTGTAAGCTTGTCCTAATCCCTCTCACGTCCATCCCAAAGAACAGTCTCCCAGATTTGTGCGCCACGCTTTATTTCCTCCATCAGGTATAAATATCGGCGTAGGCGTGTATTTGGTGGTCAACTGAGGCCAGAGAAGGTCGGAGAGAGGTGCGGTCATTGGGGTGAGGATGTACTAGGTCGTACTTATAGACTTGATGAGACTTAGGTAGGAGTCAAACTCGTTGGGAACGAAAAAACGATGTGGAGGAGTAATTTTAATCACTGCCTCGTGGGCCAACTTCTTTGATATTGCGAAATTTGACTGAACTTGGCTCTGGGAGAATGTTTCACTCCCAGGTACGTAGAGGACACCGCGTACAGGTGTTCAGTCTTGCCCTCCAAACTGAAGGTTTTAATCTGCAGCTAGATTACTAGAGATTCACATAAGCGTTTGAAGGGTATTTTTAAGCTCTCCTTAGTGCCCGTTAGACTCCATCCCTAAGTATTTCCCCCTGTGAAATGGAATTTCCGATAGGTACTTGACCTTCCATAACACGGCGTTAGATTTTGTTACAAGACAATATGGGTGAAAAATCACAGAAACATCTAAAACATTCCAACCTGGATATACACAAAGATTTCAATACTTCTGCACTAGCCAGTGTGGAATAATATGGAAACCTGGCGTCGCCGGATCAATTGGTGTTGGTATACAGCAGAGCAAGTCCATAATAAGTCAGTTAATTGATGAAATCTATTGATAAAGAGTTCCTACTACTCGCTGTATACATAGGGAATTGGAATTGTCAGTGCCGATCATAACGATCTATGTTGCTAAGCAACTATATCCAGACCGCAACATTGGTAGCCCCCGTAGCTGGCTAAGCCCTATATTCCATCCCCACCAAAGACCATATTTCACGCGGAGAAAAGTTGAAAGATGATGGAGGCATGTTTGGATAACTCAGGGTTTTTGAGACGTTCCCCTGGGTGGGTATTCACGGATGAGGGTTGACTTGGGGTGAAGAAAAAGCCACCATAACCTCGCAGTGGCACCTGAAAATGAAATCCGAGGCATGAGTGCTCTTCTTGTAGATTGAGTCATCTTTTCTGTACTTTTCTTTGATATTGTGTCATAGCTACATAGCTGCATACGCAATTAAAATCTGATGCAAAAAAAAAAATATATTCTATCCCTACCGTACTGGCGCAGATAGTACAAACACAAGGGATTAAGAAGAGAAATCGAGGGACTTCGGTTCCTGAAGTAATAATGTCACGAGTCCAGCGGGCGTACCGACAATTACCAAAAGCAGAGCACGCGGAACCACTGCCGCCTACATCCTACTTACCGAAAGCAGGATCTAAGGAAGAACAAATTGAGATCTGTAGGCAATGGATCAACCAGGTGCCGAAGTCGGAAATTTGTGCCTACTCGGATGGCTCATCGGAGGGGAATGGACGCTCTGCTTGGGGTTTTGTTCTAAAGAGAGACGGGCAGACTTTGCTTACGGGAAGTGGCATCAGGCATGGGGGTGAGGCTTTGGATGCGGAAATCACCGGGGCAAGGAAGGCTCTTGAAGCAGCATTGGGACTCCAGAGCGCGACGCAACGAGTCAACCTTCTACTGGATAGTCAGCAGGCAATCAACGCACTCGAGACAGGCAAGTCCACGACAAGCCACGATGAAGTACGAAAATTTCGGGAGTTGTCCAAATCAGCTCGCGTGACAATTAAATGGGTTCCCGGGCACTCAAGAATCCAGGGTAACTTGGAAGCCGACTCGGCCGCCAGGTCTGGCCTACGAATGCTGCCGAGCCCGGAAATGCATCCAGAATCCATCACTCTGGCATTTCTTTATGGCCAAATGAATCGTCTGCGGCAGGCGTTACTCGACGATTGGTGGAATGAAGCTTGCCCGCCCCGATATCGCAAGCTCGACCTGCTCATGCGACGAAGGAAACCACCTGAGCTGGGACTTTCGAGGTTCCTACTCCGAAATCTGATTGCAGCTCGTATTGGACATGGCAATTTCGCGGCGCATCATCGCCGTTTCAACAATCTGGACGCTATAATGGAGTGCGCCTGTGGGGAGGAGACCACTCCTACCCATTTTATTCACTGTCGACTACACGCTCACGTCACGCGTCGACTCAGAGGGAGATCGTCACATAGTGGCTTTATCCAAAAACTTCTCGGGCCAAAGTGTCACGAATTTTTCAAAATCTTTGAGAAGGAAACCTGCTGTTTTGGGTTGCCATCTACAAATTCGTCCTCTGATCTCATCGGGGACAATATAAATTAGTCATACAGATGATATGACAGGAAGGAAGACAAGTCGAGGAGATTTGTTTCCGAACCAGAGATTGGTAAATCTACAGAGCTGGATAGTTTTGTGGTTAGGAGTTTGGTTTTTTAAAGGTTGAATTTTTGTACCAGTGCGAATTTTATACTAGCTACTATTTGTGTAGTGGTTCAAGCGGTGGGATCAAGTTTGGCTTATCAGGGATATGATCTTGGCTGTGAACATCGGTCTTTGACCCTTAGGGGATAACGGGTATAGCCTAGGACCTAAATTAATAAACAAACAAACAAACAAGGGATTAATCCCGTAACACCTGGTATACCAACTGTAGCACTCCAGAATATCTTTTTATCAAATCATTGATATACATTAAACAATGACACATAATTAATGATAACATTCCTAACAATTTTCGAATATTCCCACAATCCCCTTCTATTCCCTATCACGCTCGTCGCATACATTCGAAAATTGAGATCGAACTTCTAGCATGCCACCTGTTCGAAAAAAGCGTCCCAGGGTCACGTTGAGCAACACAAGAATCCGCCCGAGGGCTCTCAATCAAACAACGGGCCCTGCCCAGTCTCCAAAATGCGTGGAGATGGGCAAGTTACAAGCAAAGAGAAGGAAAAAGCTCTACCCAACGTCTCTGCGCCCGATACTGACATGATCGGTTCAGTCGAAAATGTTGAAATCCCTCAAACAGCCTCCAATTCCTACGGGATAGGAGGACTATCTAAATCTTCTCCGACAGAGCCAAGACAGTCGAAGAATGCTCCAAAAAATGCAGTACCAAAACCAACGTTGCAGTCAAAAGCTACTACGAAAGCAGAATGTCCGCCCGAGCTCCGACCGATTCTTGAGGCCAAAGAACTATCATAGGATACTAGTCCCGATAGTGAAAACTGTACCGCAACCTACGGCTACAGCCCCAAAGAAAGAGGCTGTCAAGGCAAGAGCTGACAAACGACTGTTCCTACGACTTGATAGCAACCACCCGTGGAGGAAATTGTCCCCCGCGGGTATCTTATTCGCATTTTTGGAACAAATGACATGCATTGTCGTTACTAATATCTCGATACACCGAGTTAAGTCAGATTTTGCCACTGTGGCAAAAAACGACGAACAAAGGCAAGGCTTCATAGATGCCTCGTCGCAAAATCAAGCACTGCCGACGCTGCTACCGCGCTCCGGCTTGATGGAACTGCGGCTCAAAAATGTACTCCGCCGTGGAGTTAAAGCCACCGCTAAGTGTCGCAACTGTAGTGACTCTCACCATTCGGATAGTGAAGACTGCTTAAACCTACCGACCCGAGCTGGCCCGATAACCTAGGAAGAATCAGGTTTCACCCGATAGGCTAGTCACAGAGAATTTGCTTGAGTGGCCCGAGCCAAAGCTGTTGGAAGGAAGGCCGAAGTAGGAAGTCAACCTGCCTCGAAAGATACGATAATTTCGGGAGGACTAGGCTTTGTGGCCCTAAATCCTGAGGAAAAGGCGTGATGTGCGAAGAGCACCTGGATGAATTCAGTAATGGATTCAAAAAATCTTGAAAAGGGACCATCAATAGTTTAGGAAACCCGTCAACTCATCTTTAGATTTCAGCGGAGAATGAGCAAAGTTTATCATTTGGAGGATGTGACGGGCAAGAGAATGATTGAGGAGCGCATTTCTTAGGTCATACTTGAGAGAATCTTCTATTTTTCTATCCTTTCTCGATTTGACTTATTTTTTGGTTTCAACTAGCTACTATTTATGTAGCGGTTCGCATGTTGAGAAAAAGTTGGGGATGTCATAGATATAATCTCAGCTGTGAACACCGGTCTTTGACCGTTAAGGGAGAACGGGTGTTACCTAGGACCTAGAAATAAAAACTAACAAATATGATCAGTGCTATGTATGCATGATGAATGACTCTATTGACGTTATAGACACTCGTACTCTGTATTTCATTTGCAAATACTACTGTAAGGTATGTTTGCTAACACAAACAGTCGACCCTGCCCCGTGAGGACCCACCAAAGCGAATTTCAAAACTTTTGACTATCCAAGCATGTCTCCGTAATCTATGTGCACTAGACACGCGAGAAATGTGGTTGTATTTTTCCAGATTCAAGTCAGTGGTCTCCTGTATCGAGTGGGATATGTGTCCAAGCTATCTAGATTCTACTTGGGAAACAGACCCAGATTATATACCATCCCAAAATGTAACCATGGCGGTGTTTGTAGTGTCGCCCGCACTCTTGAAACCGAAGTTCTGGCACGCACAAGACTCAAATCTTATAATTTGTCAAAATTCGAAATTTCACGCTCGTCGAGATTATGCTCATCGTCTGAATCATCCTATAAATTTATCCCGATTGCTCTCACGCCCATTTCAAATAATTGTCTCTTAGATTTCTGGGCCATGATTTATCCCCTCTGTTGGATGTAAATATCGGCGTGGGCGTTTATTTGTGGACCAGCTGAGGCCAGAGAATAGTCGGTTTGAGGTATGATCATTCACATTGGTACGTACTAAGTCGCACCTGTAAACTTGATGAGGTAATGGTGGGGATCGATCTCGTTGAGAATAAAATAATGATCTGGTTAAGAGTAGTGAATCATTGCCTCGTAGGCCAACTTGTTCTGTAATGCGAAATATGACTGAATATGGCTCTGGAATAATTTATACACCCAGATTCGTAGAGTACACCGCGTACAGATATCTAGTCTTTGATCTCCGTTATTTAGGCTTGTTTGTGCAAGAAAGCATTCTCTTCATCGATAGTCTCCTTTAAGTTGTTTCTATCATTCGCCTATTGGGACGGATCGAAGGTGTTGATGGAATGCCAATAAAGCATTAATGGCGAATGTGCTGTAAATTAGCACAGTCCCAAGCCTTTGTACTGTCTTAGATATTGGTTAATGCAACAGACCTTTGATAATAGAAGTTCTCCTAGGTGGTGCTCGGCTCAACCTTACATCTATTCATTTTTCGGTGAGAAGTGGAGGTTCGTAGTAGTCACCTCTAACAGATGTCGAGTATCTCAACCCCATTTTTTATATTTTATCTACTACATCGGCGCTCAACAAATCTAATACATATATAGTGTATATTAAAGCAAGGTGAAGTTTGATAGGGATATTGCGCACCAATATTAGTGTTTCGCGCTACTTCGACGTTGTTATCCACGCAACACCGGCCCAGGACAGCTTTCGATAAAGTGCAACGGGAGACAATTATGTCGTCTTCAACTCCAACTTCAGCGGCATACGTATCGCGACAGAAAAATGTCGGTCCTCCATTCCAAAGCGCCTGGCAACCACCAGCACCTCCACCTCCACCAAAGCCGAGTCAAGAGAATACTCAATTCATGCCCCGGCGAGTGAGCCCAATACAAAATCCAACTTCCTCAACTGTAGGAAACACGCGATGTAGCGCAAAGGATACGCGCTTGGTTGATGGTACGCAGAGGCTGCCTTTGTCTGAAGATGAGGGACAAGACTGGGTACCAGTGATGCTTACACAGAAATCGTCTGTAATATTTTAATAGCTCCCGCCCGGCCTGTGTCGCTCATATTATGCACAGGAAACCTCAGCTCGTGGAGCTCCTTGAGCAGCCACATCTCTTGCCGGCTATTGCGCATGCGTCAGCGACAATGTCACCTTCGATAGCTGCGCTAGATGCCACGCTTGCAGCGGCGCTCGATGATAACATTGCACTTGCCAATCATCTACGCCAGCAAGAAACTATTCTCGATGAGACACGCTCGGCAACTCAGGCCCGACTCCTCGCAGCCCACGCTCTCGAGCGTCAATGGCACCTCAAGCAGGTCGACATGGATCGGGCACTTTCCCCTGTGGCACCATCATCGCTCTACCAACAGCTCATTCACAGCATTCAGGAGCAAGAAAATATATGTTCCTCGCTAGAAGATACCTTTCTAGAAGCCAATGAGACCGTTGCTTCAGAAAGAGAAGTTTCTGAATGGGTGCGCAGTTTCCGCGAGGCTAAAAGAGTCTATTATTCGCGTCTCGCACGTAAAGAAAGATGGGACGAAGGACGTGTCGGTGGTTGGCGATAGGTCAGCTGCTGTCCCAGACTTGCTGACCGAGAGGCCTCAGGTCTAGGTCACAACGTGATGAAGAGATTATGCTATAAATGAAGACACTTCATTATCTTACATCTTACAGAAGTAATTTACAATGAAATCATTTTTTATGTTAAGCGAAATATCTACCGACGTTTCCTAGAATTACATGAAGTCTTAATTTTTTCGTAAAATACATACATTCTGTCTTGGATATTAAATTGCAGTTCAAGGTTTTTGCACCGCAGAAATTTCAATGAAGCTTTCTCATCACTCAAATTCCCATGCTTTTATCATTATTCGTTGAGTGATCAAGTGGGTCGCGGCCCAGAGTTGTTTACAGGCCTCGAAATTAACAGGCACCCGGCTATTGACGTGTTATTTGAAGGGCAACTAAGTGAGCATGAAAATTTCCAAATTTTACACAATGTAAGCTTGGATGGGCTAATGACCTACGAGATGGGATAGTACCTCTTTCAGTTTCCAACTTCGTAGTAGTTTTAGTAGCCAAAGTATCATATTTGCTTTTTTTCAAGCAATATTCGAGCCTGTGCAATAATGCGATACCATTTCCAATATTTCCGTGTTTAAAGCTGCAGTGGCAGGCTCCCTCGAAATGAGTGACGCGGCCAATGTATGACAAAATACCCCAGGAAAATTTTCTCGATATTTATAATGAATAGTAATACCTTGTGTTCTAGGGCAAGAACATGTGGTGAATTTACGGGCACTCACCATACCAGGACCTGTCCTAGAAAATCGGTGCTTTGCTGCAACTGCTGCAACGCCCATAATCGTGTCAAAATTTCGAGTCATTCAAGTTTAGCGATCAGCGGGCCGGTATGTGCCAATGGAGAGAACGGCAGAATTCGAGAAAGAAGAACCTTCATCAGCGGCATCCACAACAACCACGGCAAAATCAACAGACGATCAAGATTTCCTAGTGGTGTCCCAACAAGAGCCGGAGGCCGTCAAGAGGGGGCCAGGACGCCCGCGCAAATAGCTTCTGCTAAACCCCCTACTGCAAGTACTTGGACTATCGGGGTCAAGTTCAAAAACCACAGTCGTCTCTTTTCAGCACGCGAGGGCATGGAAACGATAGCGAAGTACATTATAATCTTAGCTAGTCCTGTCTCGGACTTAAGGCTAATTGCACTTAATGTATGTAACGAAAGACTACAGAGATGTAAAGAAATTTAATAGAGGGAGTAGTTTCTCCCTAATGTAAGTATATAGAAAGGGGGACTACTCTCAACACCTGTCAGTGGTGTCCCCTACGAACCTCCAGCTCTCACTGTAGAATCTGCAGAGCCGAGATTGAGTAACACCTTATCGACTTTGAGCTGAGTTATCTCCCCCTCTGTCAAAGATACGCTACCGATAACACATAAGACGACCAAGACGATGATAATGATGCTGAAAATGAGGAAAGATAATGCGGTACCAAACGCTACAACGGTGGTCAGAGAAGCCCTCGTTATATTACAACATGCGCTACCCACTGGCGGGGGAACAAAAAGCCCTCGAAAGCAAAGCAAAAGACCCTTCTGCCCTCAAGAAAAGCAGATTTCGATTCGTCAATAGTATCGTCCCTACTAATCTATACCTCCGAATCTACTAGCCGGGAGGGCATCTGAAATACATGAGTTACTCGACAACCCCACGTCCGTAACGACTTTTGGATGCTAGGCTAGGCTCCTTCACGACAGTCACTCTCGACCAAGACTTTTCTGACATCCTTTCACGACCTTCAGTTTGTCCTGTGGCATGAATAAAGGGAGGAGTAAGGAGGAGGCTAGGAAGGTTGAGAGACGCTCTTAGGTATACACAGGTCTGCTGCGTCCGACTGGCCGGCCTCTTCGTCATAGGAGAGCCCCGCACCCAGTGGTTTTCGAGCCTTTTCCCTGCAGCTACACACCCGCAGATGGCCTTCGTTTCGTTGGCTGGAGAGGGGAGATAACGCCTGGATAAAGGCTTCTCTTAGTGAATGCTCGAACGAAGACCTGTGGGGGTATTACTGCTGGAAAGAAATCGTGAGGGAGGCAAAGGAGGGGGTAAACCACCCGAGGCATAGATACTCCCGGCATGTAGGTAGAAAGGACCTACATGTACTTACATAGTTATAGACTTTTTAGGACAATAAACAACCACTCATTCACAAGTATATAGAAAGGGCATAACCCTGATCATCTATTGTCAAATATCAAGCATAACAATATCCAAATCTACAATTAAGTTTAAAGCTATTTAGATAGTTTAAGCTGTCCTTCATAGTCATAGACTCAGCAGGTATATAAATAAAATTCTATTCTTTTCGGAAAATAGTTCAATTTCCTTGCACTAAGTGTAGTGCATCTCTCAGTCGCTGATTCATTGTCTTGATGACTCAGCCAATACCACGAACTTCATGTCGGGATACTTAAACACGGTGCAAAGAACGTAAACTGTATGTTACGTTTCTGCGGTTGTGTTGGTGGATCTTGTCCATTCTCCTATTCTACAAAAATATACTAATACTCATAATGAACGATGACTAATCTATGACTAACATTGGAAAGTGAGGTCAGGACATTTATACCAACACTTCACGTTCGCAATGTTCTTAGATAGAGAATGAATAATACATACCTCACTTTCGTACCTTTCGTTTTGCATTTGTGACGGAAACCGAGTTGGTGATGAATAAATCAATTTACTAAACTATATGAGGAGAAAAGCTAACTCTAGCTACTACTAACAGGTATTTATAGGAGTTAATCCTCCTCGTGAATCTACAGACTAGTGACTTATCCTTAGGCACAATACTTCTTACCCAGCCACGTATTTCCAGGTGTCACTAAGTTGTAATAACGCTTCAGCCTCCTGAGTAGTAGTCCCGTTTCGTTCAGCTTCATCTCCCCCTCATACAGCCTCATAGTAAGAATTCTTAGTAACAGGCTTAGGTATACACCTAAGCTCAAACAACGGTCAAACCGTAACATTACCCCCCGTTTATCCTCTGCTCTTCTGTTTCCTTAATGCTGGCCCATTATTAGTCTCTGCAGAACCCCACTTTTTCTCCCAAACGTCTAGAGCTGCAGCATCTTGCAAATTTATGAGTGATGTCCACTCTGGCTGTGCCATTCCAGTCCACTTCACTAATGCCTGTCGCTCACCCTTTTTTGTTCTGCACCTAAGCACTTCGTCAATCTGGTACTCTTCTTCGCCATCATCACTAGTGATTGGTTCTGGGTTTTCATCTTCTAGTATTTGTGAAGGCAACGGATTTTCTTCTGCAGGTATGAGCAAATCCACATGAAATTTATTATGAACTTTTCCCGGTATATTCAGTTGCACTACCTCAGGCGAAATTATTTTTGTGACAGTATACTTTGCATGCTGCCAGCCTAATTTTTTGGAAGGTTGATCTTCCAATCTAATATTCCGTAAAAGGAGCCAAACTTTATCACCGACTTCTTACATTGGTGCTGGCTGTCTCTTCTTATCTGTCAAATCTTTATATCGTTCCTGAATGGCTGCCATGGCAGATTGCATAAAAATGGTGACCTTTTCTAACCTTTCGACAAATTGTTCAGCCCTTTCTTTTCCTGTAGATGCTGGAATGATTGACTGATTAGTAACAATTTGGATGGGGTTTACATGATATCCGTGTGTTGCAAAAAATGGACTTATGCCGCCTAAGGATACAACATCTCTATTATTTATAGCAATTTGAGCAGCAGCAAGTGAATCAGACCAATCGTATTGGGTGTAGGAAATATATGCTCGCAGGTATGTTTGAACTTCCTGGTTCATTCTTTCCGTTGCTCCATTGGTTTGAGGGTGGTAGGTTGTGCTCAGCCTCTGTTCAATTCCAACTAACTTGCACAATCGTTTCCAGAATTTACTCGTCCAATTTGACCCTCTATCGCTAGTTAATGCTTTTGGGAATCCATGGTAACGCCAATGACATTCTATAAATCGTTTTACGCAAGTTTCTGCATCCATTTTGTCCATAGCCTCCAGTGTCACTAATTTCAACAGTCTATCAGTGATTACCATGATATTTGTTGCACCATTTGATTTAGGAAGTTCCACCATAAAGTCAATGGAAAGCTCTTGATGGAATCTATCAGGTACCGGTAACGGTTTCAGAAGCCCCTGTTTCTGGTGTCGCCAAATTGATGACCTTCCGCATACGTGGCAATTTTTACAGAACCGCTTGACTGACTTGCTTATTCCCGGCCAAGAATATTCTCTAGCAACTTGGGCAAGCGTCGCATCTCTTCCAGGATGGCCAGTGACGGCTGAGTCATGAACGTTCTGTATAATTGCTGTTGTAAGAGGGTCATAGAGAGGCACCCATATCCGACCTTGGTAACAAACTACTGTTTTACTTGGTATATGAAATGGGAATGTACACTTGCGCTGGAACAGCTAAGACAGTATGTGGAGAGATGTCTTCATTAATGTGCAGAAGTGAAGTGACTATGATAATTGTTATATTACAGATTGGGGGAAGCTCGTCCCTTATCCCCTAGCTTGTTTGTTTGTAGACTGATCACGTTACCAGTATGCAGCTCACCAAAGTGTGCAACCAACTAAGCAGCCATGCCATTTGTCCTACATCAATAACCCATCTCTCGTAATGCACACATTACTAAATGTAATGTCGTTATGTAGAGACTAGATCTCCTTCATGCGCCATAACGCCATGCTGCCATAATAACTACCTATGCACCAGCTACTAGATCTACCATACTACATAGCTGAGCATAACAACTACCCCAACAACATTGTCAAATTCGCAAGCGGCGATCGCTGCTTTAATCGGAGTAGGCTCGTTTGAACCTTCTATTTGCAACTTGATATCTTTGGGCCATACGCGCTCTCCGCTTTGTACCGCCTTAGCGACCTGGACATATATTTCATTGTTTTTTATTGCTTGGTTCCAAAGCTCCTTTAAATCTTCGTTGGCAAATATTTCATGGCCTTCCGCTAGATTAATATTGCCG